TGTCATGATATTCTTATAACTGGTTATATTCATTTATGTTCTCCCAGTGGTGTATCAGAATTTTTAATATTTGTATGTTCACCAATAGTTAGCATTGTTAGGCCTTTAAATGCATGTCAACATCCCAGTGTTAAAGGGTATGTATCACTGTGGTTTTATTTTATATTTCTCTAATTATGGTACTCATGAGATTTCTTAAGTTTATAAGCCATTCATGTTTGCACCTCTATGAATTGTCTATTTATTGTCTGTATTCTAATCATTTTTTATTTGATTTCTTTTGCTTTTCTTATTTATTTGTAGGCAAGGGGTTTCTTAAAACAACTCAAAAGGCACAAACCATCAAATAAAATATTCATTATATGATAGCTTTAAAATGAAAGATGTGGGGCCAGAATTGTGGCAAAGTGGGTTAAGCTGCCACCTGTGATGCTGGCATCCCATTTGGGGGCCTGTTCAAGACCCAGCTGGTCCACTTCTGATCCAGCTCCCTGCTAATATGCCTAGGGAAAGCAGAATAAGATGGCCCAAGTCGTTGGGCCCCTGTACCTACATGGGAGACCCAGAAGAAGCTCCAGGCTCCAGGTTTCGGCCTGGCACAGCCCTGGTTGTTGTGGCCATTTGGGGAGTGAACCAGAAGATGGAAGCTCTCTCTATGTCCCTTCCCTCTCTTTAACTCTGCCTTTCAAGTACATACAAAATAAATATTGAAAAAAAAAAAAAAAAACGGCCAGTGCCATGGCTCACTTGGCTAATCCTCCGCCTGCGGTGCCGGCACTCCGGGTTCTAGTCCCAGTTGGGACGCTGGGTTCTGTCCCGGTTGCTCCTCTTCCAGTCCAGCTCTCTGCTGTGGCCTGGGAAGGCAGTGGAGGATGGCCCAGGTGCTTGGGCCCTGCACCCCATGGGAGACCAGGAGGAAGTACCTGGCTCCTGGCTTCAGATCAGCGTGCACTGGCCGTGGTGGCCATTGGGGGGTAAACCAATGGAAAAGGAAGACCTTTCTCTCTGTCTCTCTCTCTCACTGTCTAACTCTGCCTGTTAAAAAAAATGAAAGATTTTTACTCAATGAGAATCAAAAACAATGTTAAAATGATGAATCACTTACTGGGACAAAGTATTTGCTAAATAAACAGTAATGATTTGTGTCCATAATTTAAAAGTAATATTTTAGGGGGCCTGGTGTTGTGGCATAGTGGGTTAAGCTACTGCCTGTGACACTAGCATCCCAGATGGGCATTGGTTCAAGTCCTGGCTGCTTCACTTCTGATCTACTCCCTGCTAATGCACCTGGGAAAACAGCAGAAGATGGCCTAAGTGCTTGGGCCCTTGCCACCCATGTGGAAGACCAGGAAGGTGTTTCTGGCTCCTGGCTTTGACCTGGCCCAGCCCCAGCCATTGCAGCCATTTGGGGAGTGTATCAGTAGATGGAAGACCTCCCTACCTCTCCCTCTCCCTCTCTCACTTTGCCTTTCAAATAAATAAATCTTTTAAAAAAGCGATATATGATTTTTTTGAATAAATAGAAAAAATAATCAAAGGACAAAGGAGTGGAACAGTTAACTCAAAGAGGATTGCTGAAAGCCCAATAAATTTATCAACACCTGCATAAGTTCACTGGAAATCAGGGACATGCAAATTAAAATAATGAGATACCTTTAAAATCTTCTAGGCAAAATAAAGTCTGATGATACAAAGTCTTAGCAAGGATGCAAAGAAGCTCTTTGAAATCCTGCTAAAAGTTGAAGATATGCACACCTTATATCTTAGTAATTCCACTTCTAGGGATACAATTTAGAATGGTGATTCTTAAAATATCATTATCAGACTAGCAGCATCTCCTGGGAACTTTCTGGAAATGCAAAGTTTCAGGCCCTACTCTATATCTAGGGAATCAAAAATTCTGGGAGTAAAGAGCCCAATAATCTGTATTTTTTTTTACTTTTTTTATTGTATTTATTTGAGACAGAGAGACAGAGAGAGGGAGGGAGGGAGGGAGAGAGAACATGTGTGAGAGAACACTATCTTCCATTTACTAGGGATGGGCCAGGTCTCCCACATGGTGGCATGGACTCAACTACTTAAGTCATCACTTGTTGCCTCCCAGCATATGTACTAGAGGGGCTGGAATCAGGATTGGAGCAAGCATTCAAAGCCAGGAACTCAAATATGGGACTTGGGCATCCCAACTGGCTTTTTAATTAACAGCTAGGCCAAATACCTGCCTCACAATGTGAGTGTGTTTTTTTTTTTTTTTTTTTTGACAGGCAGAGTTAGACAGTGAGAGAGAGAGACAGAGAGAAAGGTCTTCCTTTTCCATTGGTTCACCCCCCAATGGCCGCTGCGGTCGGCACGCTGCAGCTGGCGCACCACGCTGATCTGAAGCCAGGAGCCAGGTGCTTCTCCTGGTCTCCCATGCGGGTGCAGGGCCCAAGCACTTGGGCCATCCTCCACTGCACTCCCTGGCCACAGCAGAGAGCTGGCCTGGAAGAAGAGCAACCGGGACAGAACCCAGCATGCCAACCGGGACTAGAACCCGGAGTGCCGGCGCTGCAGGCAGAGGATTATCCAAGTGAGCCGTGTGTCTTAATATGTCCCTCAGGTGATTCTGATACACACTACATATTTGAGAATCACTACAATAGAACAACACTTTCTCTCCCAACCTGAAAGCTACTGGAAGAACTGCATTTTACATTGTGGCCCACACATAAATCATATATATATATATATATATATATATATCTCACACAAGAAACAAAAGCTTTAAGAAACAGTAATTACCCTCATTGTATGGAATGCACTTTGATAATTTCTATTCTATTTTATTTTTTAAAAACCTGCTGGTTGTGACCTACTAATTGTAACTTAATTTTTCTGTCTTAAAGAAACTCTTGCATATGTACAATAAAAAATGTGTACTAATGTTTGGTGTAGAATTATCTGTGATAGTAAAATAATGGATGGGACAAATACTCAGGAAATTGGGCAAATGGATTATAGTATACTTCTACAATGGAACATTATATAGCTCTTGTAGCACTAGAAATAAATCTGAAAACATTACATATACTGAGCCAAAATAGCAAGTCTTAGAAGGATATTTAGTTTCAAAATGTGCACAATAGTATTATAAATACAGAGGCTCCTCAGCTTCCAGTAGGGTTATGACAGGATAAACCCATTGTAAATCAAAAATACCAGAAGTCAAAAATGCATTTAATACATCTAACCTACCAAACATTAAAGTTTAGCAACACAGCATACTGTAGAGTATTGGTTGTTTACCCTCAAGATCACATGGCTGACCAGGAGCTGGGGCTCACTGCCACTGCCCAGCATCACTAGGGAGTATCATGCTGCATATCATTATACCCTGGAAAAGATCAAAATTCAAAATCCAAAGTACAATTTCTTTTCTTTTTTTTTTTTTGAAAGGCAGAGTGGACAGTTAGAGAGAGAGAGAAAGGTCTTCCTTTTGCCGTTGGTTCACCCTCCAATGGCCGCCGCGCTGATCTGATGGCAGGAGCCAGGTACTTATCCTGGTCTCCCATGGGGTGCAGGGCCCAAGCACTTGGACCATCCTCCACTGCACTCCCTGGCCACAGCAGAGAGCTGGCCTGGAAGAGGGGCAACCGGGACAGAATCCGGCGCCCCGACCGGGACTAGAACCCAGTGTGCCGGCACCGCAAGGCGGAGGATTAGCCTAGTGAGCCGCAGCGCCGGCCTCCAAAGTACAATTTCTACTAAATGCATGTTCCTTTTGCACCATCGTAAAGTCCAAAAACTGTAAGCTGATTTATTTTGTAATTTGGGGTTATCTGTATAGGCAGATGTAGTAAAAAATATAAAAATGTGCATGGTAATGGCAAATAGCAAATTCAGGAGAGTGGTTACATCTGGAAAGGAGAAAGAAGAGGATTGGTGAAGAATACATGGAAGTCTCCAGGTACATCTATAATGCTTTACTATTTTTTAAATTAAGGAAATATGGAAACCATTAAGAATTGATAAAGATGGCTGGCTAGTTACACAGGTGTCTGCCATATTATCTTATATAACTTTTGGCATATTAGTAATATTTCATAATAAGAAGTAAAAAATCCTGCTATACTTGAACTATCAGGAAGAATACATTAGAAATTCTATCACCCAAAGGAAGCTGCTTTAATATCCCTTATCTACCATGGCTTTTTAGAAAAATTCAGAGAGAATCAGAAACGGACATTATTTTTCGTTTTGTTTTTTTAAAATTAGATACAACGAAGTATATGTTCTAGGCTTAGGTTGCTTCTTTGGATGACGTAGTGATGAAGTTTTCCATTCCAGATGTAACATATGAGGGGGTCTTCAAAAAGTTCATGGAAAATACAGATTATCTTTTAATTCCATTTGACATGAATTGTTTGAAGTATCCTAATACAGCATGAATATTAAATTATTTTATCAAAGATTATTTACAATTACTTAGTTATGTTTGTCAATTTTTAGTCTTAGAGGACCTGTGTTTTCACTCTGATGCCCTGCCAATGCAATTTAAATCATATGTCATATGAATGCAAGGTGGAGCATCCTGAAGAGAAAACTTGTGTTAACAGTAAACGCTTCTCACAACCAAGGTCAATTATTTACTGATCAATTCCAGAAGCATCATGGCTACCAATCATGGTGGTCCTACGGATACTGCTTGATTATTACAAGGAAGTCAGAAGTTACTTTTCTATTAATTCAGGATTGTTTAGTAGGTTTGGATGAGTGTTGTCAGGATATTTAAAATTCTAAAGGTAGTTTAGGAACTTAGAAAAGCACAAAGAACATCATAGAAAATATGCTACTTATATGGTATGCAAAGAATGAATAGTCAAGGTCAAGGACAAACACAATCACTGTGCCTATGTCATGATTCTTTGGTAAAACCAAAGGTAATTTAAAAAGTATTACTTTAAGTAGAAGTAAATAAAAATGAAAACAACCCATGTTGTTTTTCTTGGTTTGGCCTATACCTTGTTTGGCTCCCCTGGATTATATGAAGAAAACATAGGAATTTTTCGGATTTCTTCCTCTGACAAACGATTTCTCTGGATCTCATCTTCTGGGACAAATTCTATTGGCTGCGTCAGCTTCTTAGGCGAAAAATCAATAACTTTTGCCACATGGAGACCTGGACCTTTACCCTGTGCTGCCTGTTTTCCCTCGTCCTCGAGTAATGATGGGTTCTCAGCTGTGCCACTATCTCCCACTGATGAAGCTGAGATCAGTGAGTGGGAAGCAAAGGGTTCACCTCTCATAAGTTGGAACTCTTCAAGACGTTTTTTCATTATCATCTCTTGGTAAAAATTTTCCAGGTTGTTCATGGGATCACCTTTGTTCTTCTTATGGGGTTCATCTGGATTAAGACAAAGAGATAGGGAAGTTCTACAAAACCTACCAATACAGCCTTTGACAAATTAATAAAAATTAAATCCTGTATCACATATATAGAAACTTCTAGGGCAAATCTTCACAACCTGTGACAAATGAGAATAGTATGTAGCTAGCTACTTCTTGCAGTACATCTCAAGAAAGGCCAGAACTATGGTGAGGCAAGAAAGACACCTGGGCCTCTCAGGGTCATGCAAGTACCAGGGTATTTCAGAAAGTCTATGGGAAATGGAATTAAGATAAGTTTATTTTGGCATAAAAATTGTTGAAATTCAAGCACACAAGGGGTCTTCAAAAAGTTTATAAAAATACATAGTATGACAAAACTATGCATGGATTTAAAAATTTTTTGTGTCCCCCAAAATCATTTAATTCCATTTTTTACATGAATTTTTTGAATTACCCTCTTACAAGCACCTGTAACTGCTAAGGACATTTAAAAAATATAACCAGGATGGCAACATCATACTTCACAAAATTAATAATAATTCTTTAGTATTGTCTAACTTTAAGCTCATAATCAAATTCCCCTGATTATCTCAAAGATAGTTTTTATATTTGGTTATTCAATTTGAGATTTAAACTGGTCTTTGGCTGTTATTATCTCTTAAATCTCTTTCTATTTTATTCTAAAAGTGTCCTCCCTTCCCACACCTCCAGCTCATCTCCTACCCCATACATTTATTAGAGAAACCAAATTTGTTCTATGAACAAGTGGATATTATCAGTTGTTTCTTAATGGTAATGTTTAACTTATTCCTCAATCTCCTATTTCTTGGCCATTAAATCTCAAACTATTCAAGTTAATATAGTAGCCACTGGCCACATGTGTCTATTTAAATTACTTTTTTAATATCAGTTCCTCAAACTTAGCACATTTCAAGTGCTCAACAGCCACATGTGTCTAGTGGATACCACACTGGACAGCAGAAATAGACTATTTACGTCACTGTAGAAAGTTGCACTGGACAGTGATGATCTATAGGTTCAGTATTTTTAAGCAAGAATCCTTCATAGATGTGAACTTTCTATTGCATCATGTCATAAGGCGCATCGTGTTTGCAGGTCACATTTTTAATGATGCTGAAATTGGTAAGTGGATTCAAGTGGCATTACTCTCATCATTCCATTATTAAATTCTTCTATTCATCTCTAACCTAAGGGATTTTACATCCACTAGTGATCATTATCAAGATCTATTAATTTATTAGAAGTTGCAAGATGGAGCATTTCCAATTCTATTATTTCTTTTGTATTTATTGTGTGGAACTCTATAGTGAACTTACCGTCATCAACTATTTGACTTCTCTTATACAGGAAAGGTAGGAAATATGTTTGATTTTTTTCCCCTCCATTATTTATCAATTATGAAAAAAATGAGTTAGTACCTTAGAAATGTCCAATGGTTATCAATATTTTAGTATAATTATGAGAACATGTATTTTCACATATTTCATGTGTTTCAATTAAATGTAATAATTCCTTTCAGTGGTCAAATTACTTAGGATCAGTGGAATCCCCTTCAAATCACCTGCTGTATAGTTTACTGATTTCCTGGCACAGCAAGATATCCTATGTTAATCTCACACAAACCCAAATCTGTTATATTATCTCCAAGTATCTCTCATTCCTTCTAGTGAGAAGTGATAGTTAGAAACCACAGTGTGTTGCTAGGTATGCTCATCATTGTTCCTAGGCTTTTAAATTGAACAGAGTCAGTACATTTTTAGGAGAAAAATAAATTATGACGCCATATTGGTATTTTCAATTCAAATATAAGTTTGCAAGTTTTCTACTTAAACATCTTGATGTTAAACTTACATCTCTTTCCTTATATGCTTAAAATAGTGGCTCCTAATATTAGCAAAATTATTTATTAGCTTCTTTCTACAATACACTTAAATAATTTTAATATATCAATAACAATACTGTTGTGACTCTCAACAATAAAACCACTGAATGCAGTTTTATATTTCTTTGCAGTTACTTTTGCCCTTAGAATATATTCTATTAGGAATATACAACTATTGTTTTAAAGTCACTATAAGTAACTGATTTCTCTGTAGGTTATGCTACCAACTTTATAATTAGGTTCATTTGCTTCAGGTTGTTTTGGAATTTTAGGGATTGATTATTTTTCCTTTTTGATTAAATATTTAATTATGTAAAACATTTACATGGATCTAAAGTGAAAACTTTCATACAGTACCTTAACAGAAGTCTCACTTCCATCTCTGTCCCCTTCATCCCATTCCCTTCCTTCCCCATAAATAATATTTTATTAGGTTTATGATTCCACTGTTTCTTTTTGAAAATATAAGCAAATAAGCATATATATATATATATACACACACACATATAATTGAGTAGTTACATTCCTCTCCTACATAAAAGGCAACTCATAAACACTGTTATACAACTTACAATTTTGCATTTAACAATGTATTCTGTAGATAATTTCATATTAATATGTAGAGCTCTTCTTTCTTCTTATAGCTGTATTGTACTCCATTATGCAGATGTAAATAGTTTACTCAACTACTCCCCTACTGATATGCTTTGGACTTATGCTATTATGAATAATGCTCTGATAAACAACACTGTGCATACGCAATTTGGTATTTTTCCAGTATAGCTCAGAAATATACTGTAAGAAGTGGAATAGCTGAGACAAATGGTAAATGTATATGTAATTTCTCTGTATATTGCTAAATTTCACTCTGTAGGAGTCATATTATTCTGTATTTCCACCAGCAAGGCATAAGAGTATTTAGAAAGTATTTCTTAGGATCCCCCCAAAAAATCCAAAAAAAGCACTAAACATTACAGAAAAGATAGGTATTCAACTACATTGAGAATGTGTGTTCCTCAAAAATGTCATAGAGATGGGGGAAAAAGTCACAGAATACAAACAGGTATTTGCTACACAAATAACTATTAGAGAATGTGAATACAGACTATATAAATAGTTCTTACAAATCATTAAGAAAACGAAGGACAACCATCAGGAAAATGTACAAAAAGATTGGAGAGATGTTCCACATAGCTAATAAATGTAGGCAAAAGTTGCTAGCCATATTAGGATTCAGGAAGCTAAATTAAAAAGGGAATGAGATACTAAAAGAAAATCGATATATTGGCAAAGATGAAAAAGAATATCAATACCACATGTAAGACATTATTTCAAAAAGATGAAGGAAAATAGAATTAAAAGTTGTTTATTTTGGTGTAAAACATTTTTTGGATTTCTTTTTTACAGAAAACTTTTATTTAATAAATATAAATTTTGAAAGTAGAACTTTTAGATTATAGCAGTTCTTCCCCCCATAACTACCTTCCCACCCGCAAACCATTACATCTCCTACTCCCTTTCCCATCCTACTCTTAATTAAGATTCATTTTTAATTATCTTTATATACAGAAGATCAGCTCTACACTAAGTAAAGATTTCAACAGTTAGTGCAAAATATTTTTAAAGTTAATAAATATGAGGGATCTTCAAAAAAAGTTTGTGGAAAACGCATATTATGAAAATGTACATGTAGATTTCAAGATTTTTGCACCAAAATAAACTTAACTTTAATTCCATTTTCCCATGATCTTTTTCAAATATCCTTGTGTTGTAAGGTTATAGAGCAAGTGGAACTGGGTAAATATACTAATGTATATTCTCAAAAATATGTATTTGGTGACCAATATGAGCCAGGCAATATCCTAGGTTATAGAAATAGATCAATAAAGATCTCTATTTTCACAGAGCTAGTGAATTATATATTAGGTTATGAATGATATGAAAAAGAAAAAATAGAGTACAGTAAAACAGGAAGAACTAGGAGGTAATAGTGATGATCATTGCAATTTTTATGTTGATCTGGATAGGCCTCATTGATTAGGTGACATCTGAGTAAAGAACTCTACTAAGAGATTATTGGAACTCATAGAAGATTTTGGCAAAGTAGCAGGGTATAAAATCAATGCACAAAAATCAACAGCCTTTGTATACACAGGCAATGCCATGGCTGAGAAAGAACTTCTAAGATCAATCCCATTCACAATAGCTACAAAAACAATCAAATACCTTGGAATAAACTTAACCAAGGACGTTAAAGATCTCTACAATGAAAATTACAAAACCTTAAAGAAAGAAATAGAAGAGGATACCAAGAAATGGAAAAATCTTCCATGCTCATGGATTGGAAGAATCAATATCATCAAAATGTCCATTCTCCCAAAAGCAATTTATAGATTCAATGCAATACCAATCAAGATACCAAAGACCTTCTTCTCAGATCTGGAAAAAATGATGCTGAAATTCATATGGAGACAAAGGAGACCTCGAATAGCTAAAACAATCTTGTACAACAAAAACAAAGCTGGAGGCATCACAATACCAGATTTCAAGACATACTACAGGGCAGTTGTAATCAAAACAGCATGGTACTGGTACAGAAACAGATGGATAGACCAATGGAACAGAATTGAAACACCAGAAATCAACCCAAACATCTACAGCCAACTCATATTTGATCAAGGATCCAAAACCAATCCCTGGAGTAAGGACAGTCTATTCAATAAATGGTGCTGGGAAAACTGGATTTCCATGTGCAGAATCATGAAGCAAGACCCCTACCTTTCACCTTACACAAAAATTCATTCAACATGGATTAAATCTATGACCTGACACCATCAAATTATTAGAGAGCATTGGAAAAACCCTGCAAGATACAGGTACCAGCAATGACTTCTTGGAAAACACCCCAGAAGCACAGGCAGTCAAAGCCAAAATTAACATTTGGGATTGCATCAAATTGAGAAGTTTCTGTACTGCAAAACAAACAGTCAGGAAAGTGAAGAGGCAACCAACAGAATGGGAAAATATATTTGCAAACTATGCAACTGATAAAGGGTTAATAACCAGAATCTACAAAGAAATCAAGAAACTCCACAACAACAAAACAAACAACC